TTCCTCGTCATTGAAGATGATATGTTACTTAGCCTCTCAGGTTCAGCAATATGTTTCTTAAAGTTTTTTGCAGTGCAACAGAATTATTTATATTTGAAGATATTAAGTAACAATTTTGCTGTTTTGTTACCAAAAAATATCAATTGGGTTTTGCACTGCCATAGCCTAAACATAAACGCTGCCACAACCAGGGTAAAACAAAAACAATTTATTAGATATAACAACAGAAATCCCCCCTTAAAAAACATTCAGACAACTAGAATACAACTCTTATCACTTACAAACAACAACAACAACAAAATTAGTAAACCCGTGCCTGCAAAATTAGATATGAATGTTGATAAACAATACAGTATAAATCTCAATGTGATTAAATTCAATAGATATCAAAGGAATTAGCAAAAAGAACCAGAAGAATAAAAACCTAATTCACAAAGAATATTACAATGTTTCAGAATTGAACCACTTCTCAATATCAAACAATAAATATTTCTAATTGTATCTCATTAATAAGTACTCTTTTACAATATTAATATCTGTACATTACCGTTAGAAGAAGCTTTTGTCAATTTCTTAATACATACATAATTAAAATCAACATGCTCTAGAAAGAAGGTTAGTGATTTAATATAACTAAAAATTCATATGTGAACTAAATGATAGAAAGAATAATAAAGTAAGAAATACCATAGCAAAATAAAAGTAGAATTTGTTAATATATCTTTAAGATAACTCTTTCATTCCTGTGATCATCCTATAAACCCTTTTCTGAATCATTTTCAATAAGCCAATATCGTTTATTGGATAAGGAGACCAAAACTGTATCCAGTATTGTAACTGAGGCCTAACTAGTGATATTTATAATGATGTAGTTGCGTGTTTTGACTTGTAATTCTATAAATACACCATAAAACTCTACTGGCTTTACTACTAGCACTATTTCAATGGCTGGAGTAACTTATCCATCACTATGAAAAAATCCTTTGCTGTAGTAATGCTACTGAGATATTTCCTTTCTATAGTAAGTATGTGAAACAGGTCATGTCAGACAAAATGTATTATCTTGAACTTAACTTTACTTGCCAAATATTTATTCAATTAACTAGTTGATTCATCATTCTGTAGTACCTGAACATCCTCAGGAAATACCGAGAACCTAATCTGCAAGTCTTGCTAATAAGCTCCTATTAATATCATTATTTAAATAAGAAAATGCAAAAACCTTAGCACTGATTCTTGAGAGACTCCACTATTGACAAGGGTTCAGTTTGACTGGACTCCATTAATAAACGTTTTTTTAACTTTCTTCCATGTAATGATTTTACAGCCTGGTGATTAGGGCACTTGACTCGCAATCTGTGGGTGATGTTTTTAAATCCTGTCACTGAACATGTTTTCCCTTTCAGCCATGAGAGTGTTATAACCTGATGATCAATCCCACTACTTGTTAGCATACAGTAGCCAAGAAGTTGGTGGTGGGCGATGTTGACTACGTTTTGTTCCTTCTAGTCTATCACTTCCAATTTGGGATGGGTAGTGCAGATAGCACTTGAGTAACTTTGCATGAAATTCAACAAGCAAGATCACCAAACTCTGTCAATGTGATTTTCTTAGCTAATCTTTTGTGTGGAACCTTATCAGTTCATGCCATTTCCTTCGTCAAAGTAACACGTAGCCAGAGCTAAAAAAATAGTCACTACTGGTGACCAAAAATAAGGAATGTCTGGTAAGTAGAAATACTGTATTCATGCACTACATTTTATCAACCAAAAAAGAAAAGGAAATTGAATTTTCAAATGTTTAATGATCTGTAAGGTGGGTGCCCTTGTTGTAAAGACTTAATATGATTACTCTACAGCGGTGCATGGAAATGACTACCGATCTTCCATTCGATCCATCTATACAATACTAGTTCTTTTCACAGTAACTTCTACTCTACCACCATTATTGGGTGTGAAGGATGTTGCCTCCCATTGAGTGATACCTCACTAGGCTACCCTTCCCCCTCCAGTGGGTGACATGCTCTGTGGGATTTCTCTTTCCCATGCTGTAATTTCATTATGATTCATGTAATATGTTTCTATAATTTGGACTTTTTATGGTTGATGTAATATGTTTTATGATGAACAAGACTTTATGATTGATGTAATATGTGTTTCTATGATGAATAAGACTTTATGGTTGATGTAATATGTGTTTCTGTGATAAACAAGACCATTACGGTTGATGTAATATATGTTTCTGTGATAAACAAGACTGTTACGGTTGATGTAATATATGTTTCTGTGATAAACAAGACTGTTACGGTTGATGTAATATATGTTTCTGTGATGAACAAGACTTATGGTTGATGTAATATACGTTTCTGTGATAAACAAGATTGTTACGGTTGATGTAATATATGTTTCTGTGATGAAAGTAAGTCTTTTTCATCACAGAAACATGTATTACATCAACCGTAATGGTCTTATTCATCACAGAAACATATATTACATCAACCGTAACAATCTTGTTTATCACAGAAACATATATTACATCAATCATAACAGTCTTATTCATCAGATAAACGTATATTACATCAACCGTAAGTCTTGGGTTGATGTAATATACGTTTCTCTGATGAACAAGACTGTTACGGTTGATGTAATATATGTTTCTGTGATGAACAAGATTGTTACGGTTGATGTAATATATGTTTCTGTGATGAACAAGACCATTACTGTTGATGTAATATAGGTTTCTGTGATAAACAAGACCATTACGATTGATGTAATATATGTTTCTGTGATGAACAAGACCATTACTGTTGATGTAATATAGGTTTCTGTGATAAACAAGACCATTACGATTGATGTAATATATGTTTCTGTGATGAACAAGACCATTACGGTTGATGTAATATACGTTTCTGTGATGAACAAGACCGTTACAATTGATGTAATATACGTTTCTGTGATGAACAAGACCGTTACAATTGATGTAATATACGTTTCTGTGATGAACAAGACTGTTACGGTTGATGTAATATACGTTTCTGTGATGAACAAGACCGTTATGGTTGATGTAATATACGTTTCTGTGATAAACAAGATTGTTACGGTTGATGTAATATAGGTTTCTGTAATAAACAAGATTGTTACGGTTGATGTAATATACGTTTCTGTGATGAACAAGGCTGTTATGGTTGATGTAATTACGTTTCTGTGATGAACAAGACCGTTACAATTGATGTAATGATATATATGATTTCATCTACCAGTCATATTAGTTGATCACAAACATACAAGATTCTATTACTCGTGCAATTAAAATTATTCCTTGATGAGTAAGAGCTACAAAGTTAATGCAATGCTTACAGCAAGAGAAAAATTTAAGTTACCTCCAGTCCAAACAAAGCTTCTGGTAAGTGTCATTAGAATAGTTCAACAGTCAGAATGTTAAGCTGAGTTAACTAAGTTTGCTTGAATCTTTTTTCTAGTAAAAATAATGTTAATGCTAGGAAATTCTTAAATCTTAAAAATTAAAACTATAAACTAATAGTTATGAAGTTAATCAAACACTCAACATCTGAAGAATGAACAAACTTCCAGAAATCACTCTAACATACTTTTAATGAATATTTTGTGTAGAAAGTTTCTGTTTTGTGAAAGTTTGAACAATTATGTTAATTATGCATAATCCTGCAGTGCACGACTAATGATACTTGAGCCCATGTAAAACAGCACGTGCCCTATGCCTTTAGGTTTGTAACTGAGCCATGGTGAAAGTATAATTATGTTTAAGTTTTAATAGATGATTTTTGTGGAGAGTATTAGCAGTCTCCTGTTCCATCCACGATTTGATTGAAACGGTATCATAATAGTTTGTTTTGAAATATCACATGTTACAATAATTAGCGAGTCTAAATCAGTTTCTATTGTGTGACTAGAAAATAGGACCTTATAATGACATTTAAGTAAGTATCAATTTATGCATCTTAATAATCTTGTAATTCCTGGCAATATATTTATGTTTGCACTTTCTTTAAAATATTAAATCAATGCGTACTTCATTCACTTTCAGTATTCATATGTAACTTGTTCTGTAACGTACATCTTCATTTATGAGCTAACTCAGTCAACCAAAATATTTTATCATCTCTGCAGAAAAGCTTAAGGTGTATCCATGGGCAGCCAGTAAATGCAAATGGAACTGGTGATGATTTTTCCTGGAGGCATTCATTGGAAGTTTGTACCTGCTTGGATTTTAAGAATCTTTGGGTTAGTCTAAAATGAGAGTATCTTTTAGTATTGATTACAGTTATATTGTTATGGAAAGCTTTTTTATGTGTTTAGGTTTCAGTAGCTCCAGCAGCTAGACTTGTTTACAGCTAAAGTTGAATTAAATGATATACCATTCAGTGCCTCAGGATTAGGTGTTTTGTTGAGTAATGAACAATGCTAGTCAGGGCTCTTTGAAAACTTTACTATTATAGTGTGGTGGCAGCATTAAAAACAATTTATAGGACAAAGCATAATATGTATTGATTTAAAAAACAAACAAACCTAAAACAGTTTAGGTAAGACAGTACATGTAAAAGATACAACACTATAGTAAATTCAGTGTAAGAGGAGTAAACTGGGTTTTTAGTCTTTGTTCAGAAACCTTAAAGGAAAAAGTCTGGTATGATTTTCTGTTCCCCCCTCCTTCTCCAACTTTTTAAGGTGTGTTGTAAACCAATTGTGGTAGCAGCATTCTTCTGTGAGTGTTTGAATCATACAGAAAAAGCTGTAAAAATCACAACAGATTTTCAATATATCATTTAAAAGTAGTTTCATCGGTAATATCCAATCAGATGCTATGTAACACATCTTTCACTGCTTCAACATAAAACATTCATTAACTTTATTAAACCTTTCAAGTGTGTACACATATCTTATTAAACAGTTAGTGTAAGAAGTGGACTGCCAGCAAACATCGATCATAATACATTTAGATAGGAACTGTTTGGAAATAATAACAATTCAGTATTACTTTAAAATAATAATGAACTTTATAAAATCAGCATTGCCGGTCCTAGTTGTCATCTTGATGTCATAACGGATAATAGCACCCAAAGGTGTTGGAGATATTCCATCTACCAGACAAATGCTGATGTAAAACTAGCTGACTGTTGTGGGAAATCAGGTAAGGGTATGGAGTCGAGTGTTTACATCCACAATGTCTCAAATCCTCCTGCCTTTCACTGTCTGCAGCCAGTTGTGGGAAATCAGGTAAGGGTATGGAGTCGAGTGTTTACATCTACAACGTTTCAAATCCTCCTGCCTTTCACTGTCTGCAGCCAGTTGTGGGAAGGGCAGTTACTTTTAGACTTCTTTAATCTAGAACTGAAACCACTCTACAATTTCTACTATGCGAATCTCCTAACCTTTGCCCTTACATTCAAGCATTAGAACAAAATGTATTAACTGTTAGTATATATGTTTTGAAATTAAGTATTGCTACCTTTCATAATTTTAATTTTGTTGGGTTGAAATTATAAAAACTGTAGTACAAAACTAGTACTTAATACTAAAATATGCTACTACAGAAATCTTACCATCATAGACTTGTTTTAAAAGTGTCAGTCAAGTTGAATAAGTAGACATTTTAAAAGGGAAGGGATTAGAAATATTTACTATCATATTTTGACAATATTTTGTTGAAATAGAACATTTTATTACCAACTTTTATGTATTTCTTACTCGTGATTATGGTTATTCCATTGCCATATTTAAGAGGCAAATTTTTTTTTAGACATCTGAATATATTCAAAACTACTGTTGCCATCTGTTGGATGTAAAGTAAAGTACAAATAATAGTAAGATACTACTTTCTTTTTAGCAGTTCGGTAAACTTTTACCTTAATTTTACTTCATTAGCCAAACGACTAAATTTTATATTCCATCTTTGTTTACAGATTGTGGTTACGTTGAGAGAATTCCAGTTTATATAGTAAAATGTAAATGATTTTTTTTAAATTAATTAAAACATCACTAGGTAAATAATTTGGCTTTAGGCCTAAGAGTGCTTATTATAAGGACACTGAAAGTACTTTGTGAGCATGAAACATAATACATATATATATTTTTTAAATCATCTATACAGTGTTTTATGGGTGAACTTGTTGGTTGCATGAAAAATGTGGAAGTTGTTCTTTTCATACTTGTGTTGAGGTCTAACGTTTGATATACTTTTCTGTCATCCAAAGAAGTGCAGTTGAAGTATACAATAAGTTATAGTTCTGTATTATACCAGTAGTTGTAGAAAGATACAAGTTGGTTGCTTGAATTCATTCTGCAGTATGTTAACTTTAATATCTCTTATGTGATTAAATAGTAAAGGTGAGTTTCAGAAGTATTGCTATATAGAAGGCTAACGTCTGCTGTCCGATTCCATTGTTTTTTAGCCATAGCAAACAAACTGTTTGTTGAATATATATACAAAGGTACCTGCTATAAACCATCACTTTCATTTGGTGTCAGCTTCATGTATTTTACTACCAATCTCCTCTCTCAGTTGAACCCTAATTAGTGTCAGCTTCAAGTATTTTACTACCAATCTCCTCTCTCAGTTGAACCCTAATTAGTGTCACTAAGTCAGTAAAGTTGAAGTGGCTGCCAAATTTGAAATGTTAAGTCTGGTTGCTCATTCACTTAGATGTGATATTTAGGGATTCACTTGCTTTCCTCTATCAAACTTATCAAAATTGGTTCTGCCACTTCTACAAATTAACTTGTGATAAATATGCTTTATACTCATAGATAAACTTCAGAACAAATACACATTGTTATAGCTATAACAAGTTGTGTCTTTACAGGACACTTGATATTCTTATGTCATGTAAATATTTATACTTGATTATAATTAGTTTTATTTTTTGGAAATTACAAATATTTCCTTAGTTTATGATAATGTGAAATTTTAATTTTTACACGCAAGACTATATGTTGTACTAGTTGTTGATAAGAAGAGTCTGGAACGATTAGTATTTTTAATTTTTTTTTCTTCTATAATTAGGAAAGTTACCTTCAACATGTAAGAACTGAAATGGGTGCTGTTTGATACCTTGAGAGGCAACAACTCTGGATAGGTGAAACCCATGTGAGGGATTGAACCTCAGATCTTGTATGGAAAGAAGTTTACTTTATACACACATGCAGTCTTTTGTTCAATTGTTTATCTTGTCTTTTAGGAAGTTTTCTGCCATTAAGTTTCCTAAAACACTGAAGAAATTGAGCTACTGTTTAATTTTTGAAAATGATGGATGTAATAATGAAAGTTTTAAACAAGTCTTTCTCAATGTTTATAACAGAGATTGAGTTTTATAATTACTTATAGGTTAATCTAATCGTTCACATTAAGCCTATAAAATAAGCAACATATTTTGGTAAAACTTTCTGTTTAGTTAAAAAAAAAAAGATTCTAGCTTCAAATATTTTTATCAAACCTAAATGAATAGATTTCCCCTCAAATTTGATGACAAGAAATCCACATTTTGCAGCTGGCTTGAACGAGTAGTGAAAGAAAATATATTACAAATGTACAACATTTCAACCAGCTTATTTAACTGACGATAAGTAGTATTTCCTCAGTAATTTAGTTTCTGACACTGATAAATCTGAAAATCATAACATTTTGTACCTAGTAGCACACAACAACTACTGTTGGCTAATTTTTAATAAAGTAATTTGTGTAAGTAATGTTTCCTAGCATTAATTCTTGCATGTGAAATTTTTTTACACGACAGAGCGGCATGTGGTCTCACTTGGGTTATATTAATATAACCCAAGTGAGACCACATGCCACTCTGTCATGTAAAAAAATTTCACATGCATTAAATAATATAACCCAAGTGAGACAACATGCCACTCTGTCATGTACAAAAATTTCACATGCATTAAATAGTTAGTTTGATCTGTATAGATAGCTTAATTTTGATCAGAAATTATTTATAAATCTGTTAATTTGTCCATCAAATTCAAAAAATCATATTATCACTGGTATAAAATTATGATATCATAACACGACAAAACTATCCCCACTGTCTGTATTAACGAATTATCTTAGTTCAAAATACTGTATTACTATTTGAACAAAACAGAAATCACAGACTTACCGTTTATATTAATTTATCTTAGCTAGTCCAAAACACCATACAGACAGTATTAATATTACCTACAGTTGGAACTCAGTTTAAAGGCAGTGCTTTAGCAGCATGAAGACCATCTGGCTTGTAATGTATGAAACACACAAAAAAAAAAATGTAACTGCATTCAGTGAGCCAATAAAACGAGTAGAACCCAATTTTATAACTAAAAAATTTTATTAAATAATTAATGAAACCAACTGTGTAAAAAAACTGATGAAAAAAAGAAGATAATCACAAGAAAGCTGAAACCTATAATAATTAGTATGAATTGAATCATCAGTTTGGGACCATCACTGTTGATGATATACTTACAACTTGTTAGTTTATGTGGGGTTTGTATTATAACAGTTTTTTTAATGTATTAATATTGGTTAATAATGTTATTTGTAATAAATATAAAGCAACACCTGTTCTTAAAACACAAAAAGGTATTAAAATTTTTCTGGCTCACTTATAATTAAAAGTTTACATATTTTTATATAGGATGTAGCTGAAACTTTTTAAGTTTTATTAATTTTTCTTTGTTTCTGCATCTGAGGGCAGGAAAGTTTGATAAGAAAATTATTTCAGTTTTTCCAGCTAATAGAATATATAATTCAGTGTGATGAACCAGTGGACTTCACAACCTACTGTTGACCAGTGATAAGTTAAACAATACCTGGTGAGTTATTGAAAAAGTAATCTTAGTGATATAAGCATCTGGTCAGTTACGGGAGAGACTCTCTTGGTTATTCTACATCTGGTCAGTTAGAGAAGAGACTGTCTTGATTATTCTACATTTGATCAGTTACAGGAGAGACCATCTTGTTAATTGAACATCTGGTCAGTTAGAGAAGCTGTCTTATATTGTTATTGAACACCTGATCAGTTAGAGAAGCTGTCTTACATGGTTATTGAACACCTGATCAGTTAGAGAAGCTGTCTTACATGGTTATTGAACAACTGATCAGTTAGAGAAGCTGTCTTACATGGTTATTGAACAACTGATCAGTTAGAGAAGCTGTCTTATATTGTTATTGAACACCTGATCAATTAGAGAAGCTGTTTTACTTGGTTATTGAACACCTGATCAATTAGAGAAGCTGTTTTACTTGGTTATTGAACACCTGATCAATTAGAGAAGCTGTTTTACTTGGTTATTGAACACCTGATCAATTAGATAAGCTGTTTTACTTGGTTATTGAACACCTGATCAGTTATTATTGGAATTATTTGTT